TCATTCTTCCTTCTATAATCTGTATCCCAACAGATGATCCTGGACTTCTGTAACTCCTGCTGCTTTCACTATACAACCAGCTAAGACTACTTATCCTATTGTATTCCTCCTTGACCGTACACTGTGCAATCTGATTACATAATCTCCTTTAGATCTGCCATCATACACAGTATGTAGTGTTTGATTTAATACAGCCTGAATGGATCGCTTAGGTATGTGCACATACTGCATAGCCTTACAATGATTGTATAGTGTATGACCAGATTAAATGGGTTGTCCCAGCATATACTCTCCAACATCAGCATTGTAATAGGAATACATAGTAGAGTTGTTTTTGATAATTCAATCAAAGCTTACTTGGAAAAATCCCATTTATGTAGTGAGTGCTGTCTTCCATCTGCCTATCACTTTCACCAGCTTCCTGGATTCTCAGTGTACTTTGCATCTCTTTCCCTGCTGCTTGATGTGATGCAATCTCCATTTCTCAAGACTGCATATCCCATCATGCATTGCTTCCAGCAAGCAATGATGATGTTACATTGTCCATCCTATGGGCTTCTTCAATAAGTACGTTTAGAAACTTCTAGATGCATATGGTTATTAGAAGTGGGATAGAACGTAAGGAAATTTAAAATAGAAATACAGATTTATTTTTATTTTTTGACCAGAGATACCCTTTAAGGTGTTTTTGGGCCAGGACTGTAATTCTTATTGTTGCTTGTATTTATGCATGTTTTGATATAATTCCTGCAGCCCCTGCCCCCACATTGTACAGCGCTATGGAAGATCAGTACTATGGTATTAGTAACTGTAATGTGAATTGATGTGTTCAGCTATTTCTATATAGAATAGTCCTATAGAGATCCCATATCTGAATGCATGTTGGGATACTGATATTGGAAAAAAGTTTCTATACAGGCAGCACTGCTTCCTCTGCCCGCTGCTTCCAGAATTGGCCAGTCTGGCACCTTTCAGCAGTTGTATTAGTGGGCCCACACAGCCGTGTGCCTCGCATGTAAGCCAACGTGACTGCCAACGCAACCAACCCCGTCTGACTCACAAATCAGGAACAAGACAACACACATTGTCCTGGCAGGGTTTTGTTTCTGCAGCAAATAGGCATAAAAAAAAGAAAAATGGAAATGAATTGTGACGACACTCTTAATCGGACTTGCCATGTCTCTTCTTACGTTGCTCTGTCAAGGCTTGTATCTTCTGGCATCAATAGCATGGAGCCAAGGTGGGGTTCTGATGATGCAGCAACACTAATGATTACATTGAAGGGTCTTTATCACATATTGTTAAAGAGGGATAGAGGTCATGTAGTTTTTCGAGGGCAGAAGGGATGGCACCAGGATATTGCGGAGTTGAGTAAGGAAGAATGGGATAGAGCAATGAACATAGTTCGGAACTGTTCACTGTCGGCTACACATAGATTGACACGATTATTTATGCTACACCATGTATACCGCACCGCAAAATAATGATCTCAATGGGGTTATAAGCAAGATCCCTCGTGTAAAAGTTGTGGGAATTTTTTATAAAATAAATATAATATAAAATTATATTTATAAGAGTAATAAATAAAATATTCAATTACCCTGGAAATGGACCAGTGTATTTGTGGGAATTCTGCCGGAGGATTTAGGCCCGGGATCTCAGAAATTGTCCACCACTAACATGGTCATTCACAAAAGGGTGGAGAGTTTGGAGAAGGCAGGAGAAGTGAACAATCTAGGATAATATAGCTGAACTGGAAAATGAGCTGAATTGGAGAATGTTTCCAAATCAGCTGTTTTGGCCTAGATTGTTCACTTCTCCTGCCTTCTCCAAACCCTTCTCCTGCCTTCTCCAAACTCTTCACCCTTATGTGAATAACCCTGTAGGTTGTTGTTTAAGGCTAGAAAACTCAGAAATTGATCTCACCTAGCCCACCTATGTATAAACACTGAATTAAAGTGGTTAATACAATGTTGGAAAGGGAAAAATTATTTTTTGGCATAGAGGAAAAGCAGGGAAACTCACGGAACTTTGGAAAGAATGGTTATTATGTGAAGAAGGGATAAATGGTAACTGACTTGTTAATCACACGATTGTTCAAATTGTAAGAATTATTGTATAATTTGAATAAATATGAAAAGTTGGCAGAAGTAATTAAAAATAATGTAATTATTTCTCAGATGGCATAATATTGGTATAATTACAAGGGTTTTATTTTTGTTTTTTGTATAAGTGTTGTAAGTTGTATCATTTGGAAAAATAATAAAGATTATAGAAAAAAAAATTAAAGGGTCAATCTGCCCAAAAATGATATTTTAGATATAGGTGGAACCTGGTGAGTTGTATCAGCCCCGGGCGTCTTATATGTCTTGGATGTTCCGAAAATGGGATCCCAACTCTGTTCCTGTCCTCCTGGAAAGAGCAGCAGAGTCCTCCTCGAAGGTGTTGGTGTTCCTTTCTACCTTTGTGTGTCCCAGCTGCTCCTATTACATTATCCATAATATAAAACAAATAAACATCCAGCAGTAAGAGTGGGAACCCTTTATCCCTCAACGGGTGTACAGACCTGGGAACCCAGGGAACAAATCTCACCAATAGAGTCTATGAGAGATAGAAGGAAGATTAAGAGATGAAGATAAACTGTCACGTGGTTTAAAGGAAATGTACAAAGAGCAATATGGAGGTTGGTGCAGAGTCAGAAATATTTGCCTCCAAACGTTCTCCAGGATCTACCAAAAACAGAAATATTGGTCCTAGGTGGACGGATCCTTTAAAATTTATGTACTGTATATGCAAATCTTTTTTATCAATATTATCTTGAGTAGGGAGAGGTTAACATCCGTGTTTTTGTACGGTGTATTTTTGCTTAAATGAAAACACCAAACCAATAAACTGGGAGTCCAAAAGCTTTTAATACTGGTATTCAATAAATAACAGCCAACACTCCCCCCTTCTTCAGGGCTTGAGAGGACTCAGAATGGCAGAATCACCACAATTATTAATTTGAGAGATAAAAAAAACAGAACAAGGAACATCCCAAGAGCAGAAAGCATCAGCATGCAGTTAAATTCTGACTCCTCCCAAGTATATACAATATCTAAGCCCTGATGAAGGGGAAGAGCAATGAGTCCCCAAAATGTCTTGGATGTTTTACATTTTCTTTTTAAATGAACGCCAGCATTGAAAGATTTTGAACTCCCAGTTGATTGCTTTGGCGTGTTATTGGACTTTGTATATATGGATTCCAAACTTTGGGTGTCCCTGTTTGTGCTTGAGTTTCACATCGTGAGAAAATTTCAGGGGCACTGAGCGGAGTCCCTTATGATCGACCCAACTTAATTTATAGGTAGCGCATTAGCTTTTAGAGATGTACAGCTTCCAATAGGAGGTACTGGGAGACTGAAAACAGAAGAGTGCCAGACCAAAATGGATATCAGAGTCCATTAAAAAGTTGAATAATTGTGTTTATCAAAAAGCCAATGCATTTCCGAGGCAGACAACCCCATTCCTCAGGGCTTAGAAACAATGAGAACGAAGAAATGGACTTAGAGTTGAAAAACCTCATAATTTTGATTTTTTTTTCCATATAAATGTTTTATTGTTTTAACACGTAGTACAGGTAATACAACTAAACTACACAATGTGTGGTGCGCAGACCGCACTATCAATAAGGTAACATGCATTACAGTGGTTACAGCTAGTTGTAGAGCGGTACATATAGATGGGGTGAATACTGACATCGGGGCCTTTATATGAAGACGGCGGAAGGGCCTGTGAGGTAGAGGCCTTCGGAAGGTATTGGATTGGTTACACTTACAAACTATATAACATTGACTTAAAGAGCATAAAACCTCTCACGGCTCCTACACAAATATTTAATTCAGGTAATCAAGCATCACTGAGGATGACTGCCGGTTAAAAGATTGTCTGAGTGTTTTCTAAGTATCTTCAGGGGCACCATATGCCACGTACACTCCGAGGGGGGTAGCAGCTTAGATACTACCAATGTCAGTTGCATCTAGCCGGTCAGATTGGTGAGCAGCGGCACCACAGAACACAGACAGGACAACACTGGGTGGGGGGTACAAGCAGGTACAGAAGAAACTACATAAGGCAGCAGAGGGGTCAGAAGAGGTAGAGGAGGGAAAGGTGGGAAGAAGATAATTTTGATTTTATTGTAGCCATGGGCAGTTCTTCCAAAATTTGTGGACTGCAGGCAGTGATTGGAGGTTGGTTGGTTGGTTGGCTGTTTCATCGACACAATTATTAAACTTTTTATGCACTCTGATACCCGTTTTGTTCTGGCTCTCTTCTGTTTTCTGCCCCTGTTTGTGTTTGAGAGTTCAGTCTCTCCAAAGTCATGATGCCCACCTTGCCTGGCCATCTCCAATCACGAGTCATTGATGAGTTGAATCTAGTGCCTCAGTCACACATGTTCCAGTTTATTTCTGCCAGCTGTGTCCTGTTGGGGGAGATTTCACTTCCGGTGCCAGAGTCTCAGCAGGAAGTTAGAGAAAATCTCTGCAAAATGAGAGGAATTCCCCTTTTAGATAGCTGTCACCAGGACAAGTACCCCCATTGGAAGAGCAAGTGCCCCCATTTACTCTCACTTCCTGTTCTGGTGACCATTGCATATGTTTCTATTTGCCATCACTTTCTGGGTGACATGGTAACCAGGGCAAATTATTATTATAATAATTATTATTATTACACAGGATTTATATAGCGCCAACAGCTTGCACAGCGCTTTACAATATAAGGAAGACATTACAGATACAATACAATTCAAGACAAGATGGTTAGGAGGGCCCTGCCCATGAGAGCTTATTAGGAAAGGTTCATCTACCTACCTGGAACATAGAGAGAGAAAACGTAAAGGGGGTTTTATGCTTTCCATACTTTATCCAAATCTAAAAAAAAAGTCTCATACACTGTATATCCATCCTTCGGGGAACCCCAATATAATAAATCCTGCATTTTTTTTCTCCTTTTCTTTCAAGGTCCCCCTGCGGAAACACTAGAGCCTACCCGACCATTGCCAACACTTCCACCGCGCAGGATACAGTCGACATCCGAAAGAAAGCACGACAGGCAACCGAGACCCCGCCAACCATCCGGAGAAAAGCCCGCCCAACCAGGCAACAGGCCGAATATATGTGATGGCAACTTTAATACCGTGGCTCTGTTCCGAGGGGAGATGTTTGTCTTTAAGGTATTACTTTCCCAAATCTTTCATATTACATAATTGCCTCTCATGCCATCTGAACAGTTACTCATAGAGCGTATGGAAAGCAAGTTATTTGCATATATTTGCATAATGATATAATTACAGCGCATGCTATTCATCTGGTATTTTAAGGCATTCTCTTACTAATTACACATAAGAGGTGTATCGGTGTCAGTGCCAAAAACATCCTACTCTCTAGTGTCTGTGGGCCTGGCTCCATAAGTCCCTGAGTCACCTCTTATTTTTACGAGTTTATAGAGTCACAGCAATATGCAGAAGAGAGCTTACTTAAAGCTGAACTCCGAGATAAGGAAATATTATCTAAATACAAGAGTCGTGTGTATTCTTCTTGAATCTTGGTGTGTTTTGTGTATTTCTTCCAGAACTGTGCAGTAATAAAGTGTGACACTTGGAGCTTCCTGTAATAAAGACCGGTCACTGCTGCTCTCTTTCCTTGTGCAGAGTGACTGCTCTTGTCTGCGCCCCCTCCTGTAGTTTTCTGCAGGCAACCTGTAATGGGTGGAGCCTGTTGCACACAAAGTGGTTTAATATCCTTTGTGGTTTATTGAGGAATATTTTTAAATGATGGTTTGTGAGCTTTAAAGTGAAACTGCAGTCTAAACTTTTGTAGGAGAGTGTTATGACCTCTGCCAAGGAACTTCAAGTATCAGGAAGCCGGGCTGCGACTCATTACACTCTGCCATGCTTCCTGATTGGCTGGGAAGCCGGCTCCATGGTCCCTCGTCACCAGGGAGCATGGAGTTTCATTGTTAAGGTTTACGTACACTTTAAAGCACAGCTCTGGGTTACTGTTAAATGTACCCTTATTAGGGCCCCCCACCCCACACTGTACCGCATGGGATAAATGCTTATTCCTCGCTTCCCAGGCAGCAGGTGCTGTTCTCCGCTGTTTGATGGTCTGGAATGTCGGTACAATACAGTAATGCTGGTCCTGCATTGTACATTATGAGCTGTGATCAACAAGGCAGGAAGTGAAGTAGCTTTAGGTGGAATGGCCGTATGGAGGAGGAAGCCTTCAGGAATGTGGAATGAGGTATTTGTATTTCTTCCTTTCCCTGCTAGCCTAGGACGCAATAAACCCATGCAATGCAGGAGTGATAGGGGGTGAAGATTGTGACCTGAAGAGGTAGATGGTGCACCATGCACCCCTCCTGCTAGCTGGCTATGTGATGCAATGGGACAGCTTGCCATGGGGACTGTATCCTATCTGTCCCTGTACCACATCTTAGAAGCAAACAGGCTAAAATTATTAACATGTCATTTCACTTACCTTTTCCAGGATCGGTGGTTCTGGCGGCTTCGTAATAATAAAGTCCAGGAAGGATACCCAATGCAGATTGAACAGTTCTGGAAAGGGCTGCCACCTAAAATAGATGCAGCGTACGAGCGATCGGATGGCAAATTTGTCTTTTTCAAAGGTATTCCCCCCCCCCCCCCCCCTAGAATGTGCATCAGACTATCCCTCTGCTTCAGTACACTGTCTGTGCAATTGTTAATGTGCATCTCCGGGCAAACAGCTATATACACATTTTATACATATATGTTTTATAGGTGTTGTGGCATTGTGAGGCAATACCACGGTGTTAGGTGGCCTCAAAGTCACCCAGGGTTCTCAGCCAGAGGGGCTGAGTGGCTCCAGGAAGACATTACTGCTACCAGGAGAGAACTGCCTTTTCAGTTCTTTCTGGGTTTTCTGGATCAAGGTTGGGATCCTGGAGCCAGGAGATTTCTTAGAGCTCTGGGTGGGAAGAAATCTCCATTCCTGGGTCCATGCTTTGGTGGTGACCAGCACCTGATTGTGCACCTGTTTACATCCCTCATGAAGTGTGTGCTGGGATGTGTTCAGGGCCCCACCTGTGAGTCAGGAGAGCTCCACCCTGGAGTCAGTGGAGGCCAGTGCAGCAGGGAGCTGCGGGGTTTGCGAACCATATTGAGAGGATTGGCATGTTATTGCCGTTGTCTGGAGGAACCAGACAGTGGCCCTAAAGATTGAGGCCGGAGCAGCAGTGCTGCAAGAGAGACAGATGTCGGTGAGCCCTTATCTGTTATATGCTACAGCGAGCTATTTATGTTGGATTTCATGTTATCTACCGTTTTGAAAGCAAATAAACTGCATCTGACTTGCACCTCCGGTCTACAGTGGAGTGTCCTTGTTACAAGTGTATAATTGCTTTTACCTGCCAAAGGAATTGTAATTTCACCCAACTCCATCAAATGGGATATTTGAGTTTTGTGTGATTGGTTGCAATGTGGATCCAATTTTGGCTGTTAATGTCTTGCAAGCAGGTCCCTACATATGTATGATGGGGCCCCCCATAGCAAAACCTATTAAGGTCCCCTTATCTTCACCTTGAAGGGGGAACTTAACTCTGGCAGCTGTGACCAAAAAAGAAAAAAAGCAGGCAGAGGTCAAAAGACTAGTCACCAGTATTGTCCTCTGGTCTCCCTGCAGCTGATCTTTCCTCAATATTGACTTACAATGCTTTGCTTTGCATCATCTGGAGGAGGCCATCTTGGTAGAGGGGTAGAGGCAGGGCTGTGCTTCCTCATGTCAGAACCTCCAGCAGAGAGAACAGTGAGCAGCACAGTAGTGATGTCACAAAATCTCACTCCAAATCTCCTGAGACTAGCAGTCAGAGGCAACAGTAGATCTCACACAGCAGATATACAGCTATGAGGTTGTAGGTATAAGATTGCCTAGTCATCCACACATACTGGGAAATGCAATTATATTTTTCAGGAGGAATTTCAGACAAAAGCGACACTTGTTAGGGTATGGGTTAGGCAAACTAACAAGTGTTTTCTATAACATAGCAAATCTTTACTTTTTCAGTTTAGGTCAACTTTAGGGCTATATTTTTAAATCTGGAGCTTTTAAAAAAAATGATATCTGATCCTGCCATGAAAGTCATCGTTCATGCACTTCCTGTAGTAGGGTATCAGTGGTTCAGTTTACATCTACATACCTCCCCATTGTTCTTCTGCATTGTCACCGTGTTGCTCAGGCTTTATATGGAGACTGCAGGTGGTCGTTTCAACATGCATTATGCAGACATTTTGCAGACACTGTTGTCTCCATTGGCAAATCAATCCTGAGAAATGCCATGCAGCCGTCACTGGAGTGCACGCAGACAGGAAGTGGCAGAACTGAGATGAAACAAAGAATAATATATAATTTTATAATACACAATGCCAATTTTTATGATACAGGAGGCTTTAGCAATGTTAACATGTTTCTCTCTGTAGGTGACAAATATTGGGTGTTTAAAGAAGTGACGGCAGAGCCGGGTTATCCACACAGCTTGGTAGAGTTGGGAAGTTGTCTCCCACGGGAGGGAATCGACACAGCTCTGCGATGGGAGTCAGTTGGCAAGACCTACTTCTTTAAGGGGGACCGCTACTGGCGGTACAATGAAGAAAAGAAAACGGCCGATCCAGGATACCCAAAATCTATAACAGTTTGGAAAGGAATCCCGGAAGCACCACAAGGTGCCTTTGTGAGCAAAGAAGGAAGTAAGTACAGAGTTTACTTTAAATCAGTGCTGTTCAACTTACTTAATGTAGTGGAGGTCATGTGTGGCCCCTGACATCACTGAAGGGCTGCACATAATATTCAACAAATATAATGTTGCAGAAAACTGCTACAGGAAATGGTTGGAGACTACAAGCATGCTGCAGGAGATGGTCATAGAGTGCAGACATTGAACATGAGCTGGTTACAGACCTCAGGCATGCTACAAGAGATTGTCACAGACTATAAACATACTTTAAGAGATGGTCAAAGACTGCAGGTATGCTACAAGAGCTGGTCAGAGACCGTGAACATAGAAAAGGAGATGGATATCAACTCCAGGCATGCTACAAGAGATGGTCATAGACTACAGACATGGAGCATGAGATGGTTAGGGACTACAGGCATGGTACAAGAGATTGTCACAGACTATAAACATATTTTAAGAGATGGCCATAGACTGCAGGTATGCTACAAGAGCTGGTCGGAGACTGTGAACATGGAACACCAGGTGGATATCAACTCCAGGCATGATACAAGAGATGCTCAAAGACTGCAAACATGCTATAGGAGTTGATGGAGACCAGTGGCATGGTTCAAGAGACAGTCATAGATGGGAGACACGTTACATGAGACTGCAATTTTTTTTGAAATGCCACATTTGATTTTTCTCACAGCATTATAAAAATATCTGTGAAAAAAAGAGAAAAGGGATAGACATCACAAAACACAGATTGCTATCCTCATGGGCCATGCAGTAGGTGCCGAAGGACCACATGCCACCTCCTGGACCACTGGTTGGGTACCAGGGCTTTAATTGTGTCTCCATCATGGGGATCACTCTCTCTATTTATCCTAATGCCCACTGGTACAGAAAGAGATGGGAAATCCCACATTTTAGAGTTATTACAGGAACAGGAGGTGAGGGGAAATCTACAATTAGGGGACAACTGTCTTAGAGGGAATTTCCATCGCTTTGGGGAATAGTATAAATGGACAAAAAGAAAGATAATAAAGAAAAGATGCTACATATATCTGTAAAGAATATAATGTTAGCACACAGGGGGCTACAGAAAGTTACCTTTGGACCCACTGACCTCTTAGGCCTGCGAGCAGTTTACCCACTGAACCCACTTCAAGTATACCCCAGTGCCACCTGCTGGGATATCTGGTATCATAGCTACTTGGGTAAAAACGGAAGTGCATCTATACCTAAAACATTTCATTTAAGTTTTCAATAGAGTGGGGATATTGTTAAACCCACCTTAATTTTTTTGCCAGTGTGTTGTTGGGGAGATATTGCTTTACTTCCTGTCCCCGAAATTCAACAGGAAGATTTCCCCTCAGCTCCTGTTCCAGTGGCAACTGTAAAATTTTGGATTCCTGTCCATGGAGCCGAATAGCTGCAGTTCAGATTAAGTACATAGCTGAATGAGTGAAATAATTGGCTCACTGCCCCGCCTCAATCCACCACTCTAAGACAGTCACAAAGGGAGAAGCTATTGCTGTGATTTCTCTTTAAAAACCCCAGAATGCTCTACAAAACAGTGCCAACAGCCCTCAAACCATTATAGTTCCTATTTAAAGGAAACCTGTTAGGGTGAAAATATAAGAATTGCTACTTCTGAGTTGTGTATTTAAAGTGAAATTTGACAGATTCAAAGAAAGATCAATACTGTATACTCAAAGACGTCTGCAGCTACCAACACCATCCTTCTCCCTGCCTCATCCACTACTGGAGCCCCTAAAAAGCCTTTGAAGAGACACTATGCAAGGAGAGAGAAGCCCGGTGCCATTTGTAGACTGAAGATTTGTAGACTTCTCCATCTTGCAAGTGATTACCATGATTGGCTGTCATTATGATCATGTGATCGTGAACCATCCTGATTGGTTCCGGATCATTAATCTGAGACTTTTGACTGTCAGAGTCCTAGATCCCTGCTGGAATGTAGATCAGTGTTCCCATGGCACGATGAACTTGCCTAAGAATGTTAATCTACAAATTGTGGTCACATAGCACAAAGAACTGTGCCTATGAAGGTTAATCTACACACTGCCAGTGTTTGGGAGAGTTAAAGGCCAATTGACATGTAACGTCTACATAACAAAGTATCTCCAGCAGATTTTACTAGAAGGCAAAACAAAACCCTCCAAGCAGCAGTGACTAATTTTTCCACACTATGGAGAAAAATAATTTCTTCCTGACCCACACAGTTAGTCTGATTAATTCCCTTGATATAAATATTACTATAGTCTCCTTTAGTAATCATTACTGTGGATACTAGTAACTGTAAGAGAATCATCCAGCCATTTTTTTACAATTCTGTTTTGATTTTGGTTATTTGCAGTAAGAGTCACCATTCACTGTAGAGAATCCCTTCCCCACCATACAGATGATTGACCTACAATATAGCATCACTAATAAAAAAAAGCGTATTGTTAAAGCCTAACTCTGAGTGTGCCCCCTCCCCTTTCCCGGTGCCTACTACCAGCATTTTTTGCTTTTTTATTTTATACTTACCATTTTCCAAGGTCTTCAGGACAGGCAGGGTCCTCTTCTTCTTCTAATCTTCTCCAGGTGGTGAGTGGTACTGGATTATGCAACATCAGCGCTGCTCGCTGCATCATTAATCTGTAAATGAGGGGTGCCATGCTGATGATCAATCAGGGGGCGGGGCCATGACACCCTGTATTCACAGTATCTCCTCAGTCTTTCAGGTTGAGTGATGCTGGGCGTCATTTAACCCAGACTGAGGACATCTTGTGGTGAATAAGAAGTACTACAGGGGCAGGCAAGTATTGCAGTCTGAGCTGCTTTTTTTATTTTCCATACTTCCAGGGGCTCTAGTTTATTATTATTTAAAAAAATTGCCTGCTGAGCTTTAATGCACTACGTAATGCTAAATGTTTTGTCTCTCACAGCGTACACATATTTCTACAAAGGAAAGGAATACTGGAAGTTTGATAACCAGAAGCTCCTAGTGGAATCGGGCTACCCGAGATCGATTGTTAAAGACTGGATGGGCTGCAACCAAAAAGAAGTAGACAACAGCAAAGACCGCCACCTACCGCACGACGACGTGGATATCATGGTGACAATAAATGACGTTCCCAGCACCGTCAACGCAATAGCGGTGGTCATCCCCTGTATCTTGTCCCTGTGCATCCTGGTCTTGGTATATACTATTTTCCAGTTTAAGAACAAGGGGGTGCAACAAAACGTGACCTATTACAAACGGCCGGTGCAGGAATGGGTATGACAAGATCTGGAACGTTTCGTGCTTTCTTTTTAGTTTTCACGAGGGCTAAAAAGATCCTGGGATCCCAAGTCCATTGATCGGACTGGCAACAGACGTTTTTTTTTTTTCTTCTTCTTCTCACTGTGGATCCCGGCTTTTCCAGTAAGGAAAGACTTCAAGGATTACAAAGATGGCCTTACACAATGGAGCCTCTTTCATTCTTACTGCCTCATACCTTTTCTAGTGTGCCATTTCCGGGGTTCACTTTGTGAGCACCGGCCGAACTTGCTTGGAGTTTTTTCTTCACAAAAAAAAAATAAATAAAAAAAAATAAAAAAAATAAAGAGACGGATAGAACTGGCTGATGACTTGTCTTAAAAACCAGCTTTCTCCATCGAAGTCAGCTACATTCAGACTTGTTTCTTACGACGATTTGAGCACAAAAAGAAGATGAAGCACACACATTTCTGTGAGAAGGCAAAGCGTCGTTGCTGGAAAGTCTTTACAGAACAGTTGTTCCTCGGATGGGCTCGCCAATTTAATGCACAGAAACATGTTTTTTTTTTTCAATCCCTGCTGGTCAGAATTATTACATACAAAAGTTGTTAAATATAGATTATCCAATTTTTTGGCATTCTCTGCCTGCATTAATGAATTGTTGTAAACGTTTTAAGATAAAAAAAAAAAGAAAGATGTCTTTTCTCGGCCCGCTGGTTCACGTGGAGCCGAGAGGAGAGTGTGAAAGAAAATACCTGTTCACCCAACAGCGATATTTGGTAAATGTTGTACTCATGTAGAAAAATAAACGGAAAGATAAATAAAACAAAACATGACATTACAAATTGTTTTGTTGAATGTCACCGTGTTGAGGACACGTTTCTTAGTAAGAAATAGCATTTCATCTTTAAATGAAACAGCTTTGATTTTTTAATGACTCTTCATAGGTAAGGGTTCATATTTATTTCTGATTGTTGACAATCAGATTAAATAATATTAGATTTTGTGATTTTTTTTTTTTTTTTTTTTTTATT